GTCATACAATCTTTGCCAAAAGGAATTATTCTTGAATGTCAGGAATTTCTTTCTCAAACCAATGAGAAAGAAATTTAGAGATAGAAGAATATTCCCAGTGACTGCCCCCAAGTCTTGCCATATATAATAATGATAATGGTATAGTCTTACATGAATATTAATGTTTGCAAAGAGCCTTCACTTATATCACTCATGCTGTTCTTACAACACTAGGTGAGGCAGATGTGATAAGCACAGTTATTCCTGTTTTATGGAGGGGAACCCAAGCCTCGCAGAGATTAAGGAAGCCCAAGGTCACAGGCTAAAAGAGCCAGGCTCTCAGCAACCTGTTAATCACACCCACTGGGGCCATAGGGTATTTTGTCCACACTTCTGGAGGCTGGCCCCTTTCTGGAGTGCATGGCACTATCAAAACAAAACTCGGACCATAGGGCATGTGTGGAGTTTGGGTCCATTCTGGAGTCTCTGATACTACTAAAGTAAAACTAGGGGCAAAATCTTCAACAAGGGAGGGGCACAGTTATTTGTGATGACATAAGGTCACTCTCTGAGTCTATCCAGGGATGGTCTGTTTATACATTTGCTATGATCCAACTTTCTTCCACATAAGCATCTCCCTCTGACTGATAGGCATATATATGCATGTGCAAACACTAGAAAGGATAAGAGACTAGACCTGAAAAAACTCAGTCAACTCAAGAAATATTTATAGCATGTGCTCAGTCAAATGCTGGATGATGGGGTAGTGTGAGTGACACGAGAGGAGATGGTCCCTAGTACTTAAGGAACTTAGGATCTAATTAAGAAGACACAGCTTCTACTGCTGAGATGGCAGTAGAACAATTAGGAACTTAATCACCAAGTCTTGAATTTTCGATCTACTAGCTCTAAATCATTCACTCCTTACTATGCTATCACTTTCTTGGTCAATTTCTACTCATCCATCTGGCATCAGCCCCAGGAAGCTCCCTGGACATGTGCCAAGTCCCAGCCACCATCTAGGATGGATGCTCCTTCTGTGCGAGGTCTCTCAACACTGCATGCATACTTCTCTCTTTGTAGTTTCTACACTGTAGTGAATGTTTATCTGTCTCTCTCACTGGGATGTAAGCTTCTCAAAAGAAGGGATCATTACTTTTACATTTTTAAATTTCCTGCATCTAATTCAGAACTGGATATATAGTGTAATAGCTCAGGGAGGAGAGATAGAAGTGAGAGCTAAAATGATCAAGGGGGTCAAGTGATAGTGGGGATTAAATGATATAGAAATGACATTCCTGGTGGGAATAACTGCTTTAGTGAAATCTCAGAGGTGGGGAATGATGTGACTGGAATGACCCAGGCAGAATGGGCCACACAGGGAAGGCCCTGAGGTTTATCAAGGGATGGGTTAAGAAAAGGAGAAACAGAAATCAAACCAAAGAGGAGTTTGTCCTATACAGACAGACTCCCAGACAAACATACCTAGAGTTCTGATTTAAAGGAAAAAGCTTATGATGCCACTTACATTCCATTCAAATGCTGCAATGGCGATTCCTGAATCCGCTCCTATCCCTGTCAGCCCCACGAAGTGGCACACTGCCGATATTACTGGCAAAGAGAGAGGCGTTCAGCTGGAATCCAAGAAAACAGACTAGGATCAGACTTCTTGAAAGCAGGTGAATGTTAAGATGTTTCCATCACTTCTCCTTAGGGCAGGAGTCAGTGAGCTAGAGCTCATGGCCTAAATTTAGCCAGTCACCAGTTTTTGCATGGTTGGTAGATAAGAATGTTTTCATACTTTTGAATAGTTTTTAAAAATCTTAAGAAGAATGATATTTTGTGAAATGTGAAATTATATGAAATTCAAATCTCAGTGTCCATAGATAGTTTTATTGGAATACAGTCACACTCATTGGTCTTACGTATTGACTAAGGCTGCTTCTGTGCTACAACAGTAGTTGTGTTGTTGCAGCACACTGTATGGCCCATGAGCTCTAAAATACTTACAATCTAGCACTTTATGGAAAAACTTTCTTTATTTTTTTAAAAATAAATTTATTTGTTTATTTATTTTTGGCTGCATTGGGTCTTCGTTGTTGGGTCTTTGTTGCTGTGTGTGGGCTTTCTCTAGTTGCAGCGAGCTGGGGCTACTCTTCGTTGCAGTGAGCGGTCTTCTCATCGTGGTGGCTTCTCTTTTTGCAGAGCTCGGGCTCTAGGCACGTGGGCTTCAGTAGTTGTGGAGAGCAGCCTTCAGTAGTTGTGGCACGTGGGCTCAGTAGCTGTGGCTTGCGGGCTCTAGAGTGCAGGCTCAGTAGTTGTGGCGCAGGGCTTACTTGCTCCATGGCACGTGGGATCTTCCCGGACCAGGGCTCAAACCCATGTCCCCTGCATTGGCAGGTGGATTCTCAAGCACTACGCCAACCAGGGAAGTCCCTGGAAAAGCTTTCTGACCCCCTCCTTAGAGGAATATTAATCTATCTACTTGGATGCTCTGAGTCGAGCCTGTCCTTGGCCAAGAACTGCCAGACCTCCCATCGGACCCTTCAGTCAGCCTCAAGGACTCCAAAGCTGGGTAGGAGGGAAATCCTCTCCATCCTCCTGACCCTAAAGACCCTCTTCTCATCCACCTCCCTTTCTGTCATGTTGTCTACTGTTCTTAAGTCTCAACAATCAAGAGAGATCTCTTGAGTGAGCACGGGTGAGCACTAGTCCTGCCAGAACTGAATTGAAGTGTGGGACCCCTGCTATACTCTTTCTCCTGTTTTCTCCTCTTCAGCCCTCTATAAGATCACCTTTTCTCTTCAGGTATTTGGGGACAGGGGATGGGATTGAGCTTGTCTATAGCTATGGGATTGGTTGAGCCTTGAATATTTCATAAAAACAGTCCTAAGAAGGCACTGTCTGATTGGACACCATGATGAATACCCAGTTTGAGCTTGCAGTCAGTCTGCTTCAACCGCCTGGCCAGGTCATTTCCTAATCTCCACTTACCTTCATACTACCTAGTCAGCAGATCTGTGAAGGAAGCATGTGCTGAGCACCCACTGTATACCCATGTACCCAACCCACTGATGACACTGTATGGGTTCTGAGGAGAAGATGCACCCTTTGCTGCAATGGCACTCTTGCTAAGGAAGCCAGACATCAAAACCCAGCAAGGAAGACACCAACTGGGCAAGAATCAAAGAGGCATCACCATTTGACCACCATCATAACTGCATAGAACACATATCTGCCATCATATATCTGACATCATAACTGCATAGAACAAAGGACTAGACATGCTGGTGGTTGTACAGGGGGAAGCTTCTCAGAGAAAGCAGGGCTTGAGCTGGGTGTTGAAGGAGGGAAGCAGAGAGGGACACGCATCCAAACAAGAGGGCAGCAGCATTAGCTCAGGGCTGGGACCAAGGAAGGAGTGTGCTGGGGATCATAAGGAGCCAAGGCAGAAGATTTTTGATGAGGACCAGGATTAGAGAATATGAAGCAGAGCCAGACTGACTCTTCCCAAATGCCACACTGCATCTGTTCTCATAATTGTTGACGTACTATTATTTACTGGAACGACAGGGCAGAGCTCTGAGGTCAGGGGTTTAGAAAAAGAGACACCAGCAAGTAGGCAACCAATGCACCTCACAAGTGATCAGTATTCCCCATGCTGATTTGCCCTCAAACACACACACTGGAAATTTATCTCCAGGAAGCTCTGACCCACTCACCGGCCACCAGGTCGCATCTCAATCAGCCAGGAAGAAGCCTCCAGCAGTGCCCCGGTTAGTCCTCAGCATTGCCTGAGCAGAAGGGAAGACATGTAAGGGTCAAATGTCAGCAGGTGCCCCGAGATGCCCCAGATGCTCTGGCCAGGGCGCTGATGGAAGTGACCTTTTCCAGCACTCCTAAAGAGAAACATTATCCTGGAAACTGTGATATAGCACCAATTTTTAAAGGACTTCAAAATCACATCTTCATAGAAACCAAGGAACTTTAAGAAATCATATTCCTCAACTTCTGTCCTAATTGTTTTGTTTATTTTCGTTGATGAAAACAATGTGAGGTATCGCTAAAGCTGTGCTTGGAAGGAAATTTGCAGCCTCCAGGTCATGACTTAAAAGAAAGAATGGGGCTTCCCTGGTGGCACAGTGGTTGAGAGTCTGCCTGCCGATGCAGGGGACACGGGTTCGTGCCCTGGTCCAGGAGGATCCCACATGCCGTGGAGCGGCGGGGCCCGTGAGCCATGGCCACTGAGCCTGCGCATCCGGAGCCTGTGCTCCGCAACGGGAGAGGCCACAACAGTGAGAGGCCCGCGTACAGCAAAAAAAAAAAAAAAAAAAAAAAAAGAAAGAAAGAATGAACGTAAATGAATTAAGCATCCAACTCAACTAAGTTAGAAAGTGAGCAAAGGAACATAAAATAAATGAGGTAATAAAACAACATCTTTATTCATTATGCCAGGTGCTGGAGGTGCCGAACAGAATAAGTCTGAAGTCTCACTGCTGGCCCCGTTCACACGATGGGGTTGTTAGAAGAATAAATTAGCTCAGTGCAAGCATTACTGATGTCACACATGAGAAAATGACTGTGAGCGAAGGACAATGAAACCTGTGACAGCTGGTAATGTCCTCTCAGCTTCGTCACATCACACTTTTCCCTCTCTCAGACATTTTGCCCCCCAAGACGTGTGCCCACCCTGAACACCCCACTAAGCTCCTACATACCCACAGCCCAACAGCCATCACCACCACGAAATATACAACAATGACGGAGATGTCGGCAGCATTTTGGTTGCACTCTGATATCTCAGGAGGGTCCAGCGTCTCAGTCACAGTGCTGGGGCTTAACATGCTGGCCATGGCTGCAGGAACTGTTTTCCCCATCCCAGGGATGGCTGTTTTCTCATATGAGCTCTGGGTTAATGATCAGGCTTGAGCAGGTGGGGAGCATTATCAGAGCCATCTCCTGGCCAGGAGGACCCTTAAACCTCTTCTCTGAAGCTCTGAGACACTGGCCCTCCAGCAGTCATGTTGGACCAGGTGGAGTGTGGGAAGGAGGGGTGAGAGATGAGAAATGGGGTGAAATTGGAGGTGGGTAGTGGGGTGTTACTGAGTGGAAAGACAGGGTCTTTAAGAAGATTTGACCAGGCTGAGTGAGGATTAGGGAGAGATAAAGGGGACAGAAAGGGGGGAAGGAAAGAGGTGAACGGTCCAGAAAAGAGTTAGGAGGACAGGTGGTAAGGGTCCCTTACAGAGCAGATAAGATTCCTGACCAAGGAATTATATCCCTTGAAGGTGAAGTAATTTTGCATTTCCTAGGTTTCCAAGCTCTATGTTTCTTTGGAACAGGTAATATAAATCAAGCTTTATATTACACATCAGGACAGTGGTGGCCCATGCAGGAAAGGGGAAGTGATTCTATGAGCACTGCATACTGAAGGGTTGGGGCAGGGCTGTGGAGTGGGCTGGGTCAGAGGTTTTTTTTTTTTTTTTTTTTTTGCTGAACGCTGGCCTCTCACTGTTGTGGCCTCTCCCATTGCGGAGCACAGGCTCCGGACGCGCAGGCTCAGCGACCATGGCTCACGGGGCCAGCCGCTCGGCGGCACGTGGGATCTTCCCAGACCGGGGCACGAACCTGTGTCCCCTAGCATCGGCAGGCGGACTCTTAACCACTGCGCCACCAGGGAAGCCCGGGTCAGAGGTTTTGACAACGGGTGAATCAACCTAAAAGCATGTGATAGTGATTCTCAGGACTCAGATATATACCCAGATGTGGGCTTGCGTGATCATATGGTAGTTCTATTTTTAATTTTTTGAGGAACGTCCATACTGTTTGCCATAATGACTATATCAATTTACATTCTCACCAGTGGTGCATAGGGGTTCCCTTTTCTCCAGATTCTTGCCAACACTTGTTAAGTGCTTGTCTTTTTTATAACAGTCATCCTAACAAGTATAAGCTGATATTTTAGTTCTGATTTGCATTTCCCTAATGTTTAGTGATGTTGAGCATTTTTTCATATACCTGTTGGCAATTCATACATCTTCTTTGGAAAAATTTCTATTTAGGTCCTTTGCCCATTTTATTTTTTAAAAGATTTATTATTTATTTATTTAATTTTTATTTTTGGCTGTGTTGGGTCTTAGTTGCGGCACGCGGGATCTTCGTTGAGGCATGTGGGATCTTTCCTGTGGTGCACGGGCTTCCCTCTAGTTGTGGCATGGGGGTTTTCTCTCTCTAGTTGTGGCGTGCAGGCTCCAAGGTGCATTGGCTCTGTAGTTGTGACGCACGGGCTCCAGAGCACGTGGGCTCTGTAGTTTGCAGCACACGGGCTCTAGTTGAGGTGTGTGAGCTCAGTAGTTGTGGCACCCGGGCTTAGTTGCTCCGCAGCATGTGGGATCTTAATTCTCCGACCAGGGATTGAACCCACATCCCCTGCATTGTAAGATGGATTCTTTACCACTGGACCACCAGGGAAGTCCCATCTTTGCCCATGTTAAAATCAGGTTGTTTGTTTTTGCTTTTGAGTTGAAGAGTTCTCTGTATATTTTAGATATTAACCCCTTACCAGATATATGGTTTGCAAATACTTTCTCCTATTCTGTAGGTTGCCTTTTCATTTTGTTGATTGTTCTCTTTGCTGTGCAGAAACTTTTTAGTTTGATGTAGTCTCAGTCTAGTTTTTCTTTTCTTGCCTGGATTTTTGATGTCATGTCCAAAAAAAGTCACTGCCAAGACCAAGGTCGAGGAGATTTTCCCCTATATTTTCTTCTAGGAATTTACAGTTTCAGGTCTTACATTTAAGTCTTCAATCCATTTCAAGTTAATTTTTTGCATGTTGTAAGATAGGGATTCAATTTAATTCTTTTGCATATGGTATACACTTTTCCCAGCACCATTTATTGAAGAGACTATCCTTTTTCATTGTGTGTTCTTGGCATCTTTGTCAAAGATTAACTGACCATTTTCTCGGGTTTATTTCTGGGCTCTTGATTCTTTTCCATTGGTTGATGTGTCTCTTTTTATCCCAGAATTATACTATTTTGATTACTATACTTTGTAATTTAGTTTGAAATCCTAAAGTGTGATGCCTCTGGTTTTGTTCTTTTTTCTCAAGATTTGTCTGTCTATTTGGAAACTTTTTTTTAAAGATTCATTTATTTTATTTTTGGCTGTGTTGTGTCTTTGTTGCTGCATGCGGGCTTTTCTCTAGTTGTGGCGACTGGGGGTTACTCTTTTTTGCGGTGCCCGGGCTTCTCATTGTGGTGGCTTCTCTTGTTGCAGAGCATGGGCTCTAGGTGCATGGGCTTCAGTAATTGTGGCACACGGACTCAGTAGTTGTGGCACACAGGCTTAGTTGCTCCATGCCATGTGGGATCTTCCTGGACCAGGGCTCGAACCCATGTCCCCTGCATTGGCAGGCAGATTCTTAACCAGTGCACCACCAGGGAAGCCCCTGTCTATTTGGAAACTTTTGTGGCAGGATTTTCCCCCTATATCTGTGAAAAAATATCATTGGTGTTTTAATGGGGATTTCATTGAATCTACAGATTGCTTTAGGTAGTGTGGATATTTTGACAATATTAATTCTTCCAGTCCATGAACATGGGATATCATCCCATTTATTTATATCTTCTTCAGTTTCTTTCATCAAAGTTTTATAGTTTTCAGTATACAGATTTGTCACTTCCTGGGTTAAATTCAAATTTATTCCTAAGTATTTTATTCTTTTTGATGCTATTATAAATGAGACTTTCATTTATTTCTTTTTCAGATAGTTCATTGTTAGTGTATAGAAATGCAACTGATTTTTGTGTGTTGATTTTGTATCCTCAACTTTACTGAATTTGTTTATTAGTTTGAACAGTATTTTTTTTGTGTGTGTGGAGTCTTTAGGATTTTCTAAATTTTAGGATTTCTTGCCTAATTGTTCTGGCTAGGACTATCGGTACTATGTTAAATAGGAGTGGTGAGAATGGGCAGCCTTGTTTGATTCCTGATCTCAGAAGAAAAGCTTTCAGGTTTTCACCATTGAGTATGATGTTAGCTGTGGGCTTGTCAGATATGGCCTTTATTGCATTGAGGTAAGTTTCTTCCATACCTGAGAAGTATGAGAGTTGAGAGTTGTTGAGAGTTTTAATCATTAAAAGGTGTTGAATTTTGTTAAATGCTTTTTCTGCATCTGTTTTCACGTCTGTAGATGGGACTCCAATCAGTGAGTCAGCCACCTGGGCGTGGGCTCATCTTCTAAAAATTTCCCTCCTTGGTCTTGGACTCCATCAGGGATTCACACAATTCCCAAAGGCACTTTTGCCCACGGAAGGATACCAAATTATTGTTTCTGAGGAGGAATACTAGCCAGGAACCTCCTATTCCACCATCTTGCTGATGTCACCTCATGAACTCCCATACCATTTTGAAGATGTCTTTTTCTTTGTTGAACATTTGCTTGATTGTTGTCAACCTTTGACTGTTTTCCATTTTTTCCACAATGTTCTGGTTGGTTTTTCGATCTTTCTGTTGGTGAATGAAATCTTGGAATGTCCTAGTCCACCATTTTCCTGGTCATCTTATGTTTATAATGGAGTTCTGTAGACTGAGACATCTCATCAGGTCATTACTGCTCCCTCCCACACTCTCCCAGAGATCCTATCCTGTGTAAGGCATTCGTGCACATCTGTCCTTTCCTCTGCTCTGCAAGCAACATCTGTGTGCATTTCTGACCATTTAAATGCAGGACAAGAAGTAAAATTGATGAAATAAGAGCCTCAATAGGAGCCGAGAGGAAAATCGAATGGGTCCCAATACAGGAAAATAGGAGTAGAGCTAAGTTAACTAAACCTTAATTTAACATAAAAGAAGTTTGCAGCACAGCTGTATCTCACTAGGAAAAAAATTTAAAGATCGACCTTAGAATTGTGACGAAAGAAACGGAAGAACAGCTTCAAGGCTAACAGCACATTTTGACTTCTGTAAGAAAGTTGCTTTGCTTGCTTGCTTGGGGCAGGAAGAACCGGGTTCCTGATTGGCTGATTCAAAATTAAACAGCTCCCTCCCGCCTTGGGAACTTCCCGCCCTGTGAAGGGTATAAAAGCCTCGCCCGACTGTTAGTCGGGGTCTCACTCACTTCTCTCCGAGTGGGACCCTGTCAGGACAGTTTGTGTAAGCTTCTATACTTGTACTTGTATAAATCCTTTGCTAATCTTTCTACTTGATGTTGGTGATTCTCGGGTGTCCTTGGTTGGGACACGGGTCGCATTTACCGGGGAACTCGACTCCAGGCGTGTGGCTCCCGGACCGCAACAGAATAAGGCAAGAAAAAGTCACTTTTTAGAGAGCTCTGTGAACCTGAGCCCAAGACCCTCATAAAGCATGAGGAAATCTGCACGAGAGAAAGGACTTGGTTAGCTCCCACAAAAGGACACATATTTATAACTTGCCTTTACCAAATAAATAAACCCATCAAGCAGCAGGTCTCCTTTGGATCATTTTTCTTTCTGAGTAAGAAGTTTCTGTTGAGCATCACATTGTCTTCCACCTATAGGCCTGGAGTTTTGACCCTCTGAGCTCCTACCTCATCCTGTGGGCAGGATGGAGGCTCAAGGTGCTGCATCCCTGCCTTCTGAAGCCCTTGCTCTGCTAGGCTATGTGGCTTCAGCTTCTCTAGTTCCAGCAGCTGCACTCACATACTCTCATCTCATGCCCAGGGACAGGGAGAAGGAGGAGGAGGGAATCTGGGCACGAGGACACCTCAGAGACCTGTGGGTATACAATTCCTGAATATTGACCAGTCTGGAAAAATTGGTAAAGTAACTTTATTAGTTTATTACTCCAGAAGAGGAACAAGCTCTACTGCCTTCTCTGGGAAATCTATAGAGAAGAGTTGGTGTGAAAACTGTTTTTGCATATATATGATTCTGGGTTAGTCCATGGGAATGGTTCCATCCACCTCCTGTGTCCTCATCTCCCTGCTGAAGTCACAATGCCTTCTGTCTGCTACCTGTCATATAAAGCACCCCTCCCCTCCCCCACCACAAGCCTCTTGTTCCTTTCCTCATC